AGCTAAACCATGTTCCTCAGCACCACATCTAAACAGCTTTTAAACACCTCCAGGGACGGTGATTCAATCACCCCCCTGGGCAGCCTGTGCCAGTGTTTAATGACCCTTTCAGTGAAGAAGTTTTCTTTAATATATAATCTAAGCTTCCCCTAGTGCAACTTGAGGCCATTTCCTATTGTCCTATCAGCTGTTCCTTGGGAGAAGAGACCCACCTCCCCTGGCTCCAACCTCCTCTCAGGCAGCTGCAGAGCCAGAAGGTCTCCCCTCACCTCCTTGTCTCCAGGCTGGACATCCCCAGCTCCCTCAGCTGCTCCTGCTCACACTTGTGCTCCAGCCCCTTCCCCAGCTCCCTTGCCCTTCTCTGGACACACTCCAGCCCCTCCATGTCCTCCTTCTTTTGAGGGGCCCAGAACTGACCCCAGGATTGGAGGTCCACCCTCACCAGTACCAGCACAGGATGATGATCCCTGCCCTGGTCCTGCTGGCCACACTGGTCCTAATACAAGCCAGGATGCTGTTGGCCTTCTTGGCCACCTGTGCACACTGCTGGCTCATGGTCAGCTAGTCAGTGACACTGCCCTTCTGTCTAGCTGAAGCTTTGTAGGAAACCAAACAGGGCACACCAGTAGAGACAACTGTAGTGCCAACACCAGAAGTCCTGCTGGAAGCATATGGCAGCAAGAGCTGTGTTTCTGCCCTTAAGGCTCAAGTCAGTCTCTCCTCTACAATGCCCTGGTACCACCTGTACTTACACAACTGAACAGCAGGTTTCATTTCATGCTAGCACTGGGACAGACTGCCACCCCAGCTCTGCAGTTCTTCTCCCACAGTGGGTACTTGCTAGTTTCAGACTTTTTCTCCAGAGTAGTGGGAAGCTGCAAGTTAGTGACCAGCTCACACAACAACCCCTTGATCAAGTCCTTAAAGATCTACTATGGGAGTTCCTCCAGTGTGATCCACCTGAGTCGGACAGCTTAGGTGCTGAACCCCCCCAGACCTTCAGTCCCACAGCACCTACCCTCCGTGCCTTGGCAGTGCAGAACATATCTCATTATATCCAGATTTTCATAGACTATCAGTATCTCTACTGCTCCCATTTCCAAAGCTTTTAGTGTATCTTCCACACCAAAACAGTACTTCCCCGTGTCCTGACTGATCTCATCGAAGTATCGTCCTGCAGCCGGGAGGGAAAGACATTGTCATCAACTCTGACCAGGCCATGGGGATTTTTAACAAGCCTGACTGGAATGCAGGAAGAAACTGGAAAAGGAGACTGCAATGCTGGTGAAGGAAGCAAAGGGTATGGAAACAACTCCAAGTGTGTGGGTTAGAACATTCAGCAGCAGGAGGTTAACTCCATCAGACACTGCTCTGTCAGGAATCTCACTCCATGGAAAGGTACCCCCAATTAGACTAACCCACCAGTAGGCACTAATTAACTTCACTCTCTCCCCTCACCTCCTTGTCTCCAGGCTGGACATCCCCAGCTCCCTCAGCTGCTCCTGCTCACACTTGTGCTCCAGCCCCTTCCCCAGCTCCCTTGCCCTTCTCTGGACACACTCCAGCCCCTCCATGTCCTCCTTCTTTTGAGGGGCCCAGAACTGACCCCAGGATTGGAGGTCCACCCTCACCAGTACCAGCACAGGATGATGATCCCTGCCCTGGTCCTGCTGGCCACACTGGTCCTAATACAAGCCAGGATGCTGTTGGCCTTCTTGGCCACCTGTGCACACTGCTGGCTCATGGTCAGCTAGTCAGTGACACTGCCCTTCTGTCTAGCTGAAGCTTTGTAGGAAACCAAACAGGGCACACCAGTAGAGACAACTGTAGTGCCAACACCAGAAGTCCTGCTGGAAGCATATGGCAGCAAGAGCTGTGTTTCTGCCCTTAAGGCTCAAGTCAGTCTCTCCTCTACAATGCCCTGGTACCACCTGTACTTACACAACTGAACAGCAGGTTTCATTTCATGCTAGCACTGGGACAGACTGCCACCCCAGCTCTGCAGTTCTTCTCCCACAGTGGGTACTTGCTAGTTTCAGACTTTTTCTCCAGAGTAGTGGGAAGCTGCAAGTTAGTGACCAGCTCACACAACAACCCCTTGATCAAGTCCTTAAAGATCTACTATGGGAGTTCCTCCAGTGTGATCCACCTGAGTCGGACAGCTTAGGTGCTGAACCCCCCCAGACCTTCAGTCCCACAGCACCTACCCTCCGTGCCTTGGCAGTGCAGAACATATCTCATTATATCCAGATTTTCATAGACTATCAGTATCTCTACTGCTCCCATTTCCAAAGCTTTTAGTGTATCTTCCACACCAAAACAGTACTTCCCCGTGTCCTGACTGATCTCATCGAAGTATCGTCCTGCAGCCGGGAGGGAAAGACATTGTCATCAACTCTGACCAGGCCATGGGGATTTTTAACAAGCCTGACTGGAATGCAGGAAGAAACTGGAAAAGGAGACTGCAATGCTGGTGAAGGAACCAAAGGGTATGGAAACAACTCCAAGTGTGTGGGTTAGAACATTCAGCAGCAGGAGGTTAACTCCATCAGACACTGCTCTGTCAGGAATCTCACTCCATGGAAAGGTACCCCCAATTAGACTAACCCACCAGTAGGCACTAATTAACTTCCCTCTTTCCCATGTAAGATTTTGTTGCTGTTGCCCTCTTGTGTTTTCAAATCAGCAATGTGTGTCTGCTGACAGTCAAACCAGACATCATTCCTACTGTCGTCTTAAAATGAAATGTACCTTAACTCTCATCTTGCTGAAGATTTAAACAACCTGAGGTGATATCCTTTCCCCTTCTGCCCAAATGTCCCCAGAAGGCCTGAAACCAAGGGGATCTCCCATGAAAAGATAAACAGAGAACATCTGAGAAATTGGGGGGGAACAAAAACAACAAAGAAAAAAAAATAACCCAAGCAAACTAAAAAACACCACAACAAAAGCCCCACTCGTTAAGGTCTCATTAAGTCCTGCAACATTTGAGTAGGTGTCCAGGTCATGGGAAGAACCACAAGTCACGCTCTGACCAAGCTGGAAAGCTCTGCAGGGCTGCAGCAGCAAACAAAGGCCTTACCAGGAGGCCTAAAACAAGATCAGCATATTCAGTCAAGCATATTTGAACATGTAGCCACATACCTATTAGTTTCTTCTCCTGAATGAATTTCACATTGGAGAGGACCTCAGTTGACAGCTCAATTGCTTGATTGAATCCATTTTCTCCTCCATATGAAATGTCAACTAGTTTGAGCACTTTGGATTGCAACCTCTACACAATAAAAAGGAGACATGAATAAGAGTATTGCAAAGCCCTGCCATGAGGCTCCTTCATAAAGCCACTAGAATAAGTACCTGGCAAGACTGACAGCACTGATCTATTTTGCTTCACTTGCAAGCACAAGTTCTGAGTCAGAGGGACCTCAATGCTTAATATTGAAGCACAATTTTCAGGCAACAGAGACACAGAGATTAGGTTTACTGGAGTCTAATTCCAATAAAGCTTCTGCTTTAGATTTGGGCACATGAAGAATGTGAATGTCAGTTCCAAACCAGGCAGGAAAGGATTCTTATTAGCACTGTTACTAAAAAAAGGAGATATTCCCTCCTTGCAGGAGGTATTAGGAAAGAGAGAGCTCTTAAGCATACATCAGATTTTTAGTTTTGATCATATCACTTAAGACAACAACATCACATTTCTCCCCAAATGCATTTTATACAAGAGCTACTACTATGGGAAAGTTGGGGAGGGACTTTTGACAAGGGTTTGGAGTGAGAGGACAAGGGATAATGGATTAAAACTGGAACAAGGGAGATTCAGGTGAGACAGGAGGAAATTCTTCAGTGTACAGGTGGTGAGACCCTGGCCCAGGTTGCCCAGAGAAGCTGTGGCTGCCCCATCCCTGGAAGTATTGAAGGGCAGGATGGATGGGGCTTGGAGCAACCTGGGCTGGTGGGAGGTGTCCATGCCCATGCAGGGGGGTTGGATCTAGATGATCTTTAAGGTCCCTTCCAACCCAAACCAGTCTGGGATTCAATGTTACTACTGACAAGCTTAAACATTTCGGCTTTACTTGGAAAGGCCACTCACCTGATCAAACATGTCAGATTGACTTAATTCAGTTTTGAAGTCAGCTGATCCAGCTAAAACGAGACCAGCCACGTTCACCTTGTCTCCAGAGATGAAGAGCTGCACAGCTGTCTCTGCCACCTTCCTCACATAGTTGTGTCGCTTCTCCATCCTCAAGCGAGCAAAACGCAAGGCAGACTGACCTCCTCTACCTTTGGGGAGAACAGATGGGAAGTCATTCATTTCAGGAAGGTTATTACAACATGGTCCCAACTGGGCCCTGAATAACTGAAGCCAAGGGCAGGTGGAGCCTTCAGAAAGAGTTTGCCACCAGCAGAGCCAGAGGCACTCACTGACACTGCACAGTGAAGACAGAGGGTTTGTTGACAGGAAGGGATTTTTCTCAACACATCAGGGTTTTCTTTCTTTTTATACAAACTTGCAACTCTCTATAGAAATTCTGAACATCTGTGCAAATTTTTATGTCCTGTACCTTCATTAAAAGCAATTTGTTTCGTTACACTGTGACACTTTTGTCACACTGATGTAATGCAGGCCAGCAGTCTCAGCTGAAACTAACTACAAGAGAGGTTTCTATTTAATTTTGTCCCATCCAGCTCCACAGAGAAGGGCAGTAACCCAGGAGCAGCAGACAACCTGCTGAATTCTTGAGGGGCTCACTGCAGCACAACATCACAGCATAGACCTAGGATTTTGCTTGCTCCATTAGGCTTCTGTGCTTCTTGCAAGGAACAGCCTCCTGCTTTTCACTGTGGTTTGCATGGGACACCATCAGATGCAAGATTCCAAGACACTACCAAGTGATATTACTACTTGTGCTAGTCATGTTAGTTTATGTTGAATAGTTCAGGCTGTCCCAAAAAAACCCAAAAAACACCACGTAAACGGTCACAGACCTGTTGGAACAAGTCCAGAGGAGACAACAAAGATGATCCAAGGGCTGAAGGAGCTCTCCTAGGCTGAGAGAGTTGGGGTGTTCAGCCTGGAGAAGAGGAGGCTGCAGAGACCTCAGAGCACCTTTCAGTGCCTGAAGGGGCTCCAGGAAAGCTGTGGAGGGGCATGGGACAAGGGCAGGGGGTGATGGGACAAGGGGCAATGGCTTTAAACTAGTGCAGGATAGATTTATGTATTTAGATTAGACATTAAGAAGAAGTTCTTTACAATTAAGGTGGTGAGATACTGGAACAGGTTGCCTAAGGAAGCTGCAGCTGCCCCACCCCTAGAGATATTCAAGGTCAGGCTTGACAGGGCTCTGAGTGACCTGATCTAGTCAAAAAGGTCCCTGCTCACTGCAGGGCAGCTGGGCTAGATGACCTTTAAAGGTCCCTTCCAATCCCACAAATTCTATGAATCTAAATGCACCAAGAAATCAAAAGCACCACTTTAGGATCACCTGCAGGTTACAGCAATCTGTAATCTGTGATCTGGCTCTGCAGTCAGATTGTAAGGGAGCAAAGAGCTGACTAGAGGTAACCACCTACAGCCCAAGTTCCTTGCTTCTTCCCTCACATCTCACCCCACAATATCCTTCTGCAAACATTCTGGGAGAGACTAGTGCATTACCATGCTTCTTTGGAAGATCCACAGTGAATTTGTGCAGGACTTCTCTTGTGTTTCCTTGCAGAGTCCCAAAGAGGGCCCCACTACCATCTATTACGATAAAGCCAAACTTGCTGTCGTCGGAAAGCAGCGCTGTCAGGGCCTGCAACAGGAAACCAAGTCAGCAGCAAGCCCCAGCTTAGGGACCAGAAAGGCTACCAGAACAGCACACCTCAAGGCATTTTAGTTCCATCACAGCTCATTGTTATTTTTACAAATGAACTAGAGGAAGATGAGCAGGTTCAGGAGCTGAGATGACCCCTGGTTACCAGCTGAGATGACCCCCCGATTACCACACAAGGCTGCCAAAGAAAACCAGTGTCCAAGGTTGGTAACTATTTTCACAGTCTTACCAGCTCATCACATGGTGTCACAAGCAGGTGTAACAGCAACACCCTACAAATCAGCTCTGGAAAGTGTTAAGTGACACCTTTCCAACGCTGCACCACCTCTCCAGTTTTGCCAGCCAGAGGAGTCCTCTTCCTAGCATTCCAGCCAGGAAAGCAGAGCTTGCTTAGCTCACTGATCAGGCAGTTTTACACCAATACAGACCAACTTTTAACTGGCCAACTACCACAAATACCAGTTTGCTGCACCTGCTGACTTCAACACACCCAAAAGGGAGAATGATGAAATCCACAGGGGCTGTGACAAATTCAGCCTCAGAAGTAACAGCAGCAATAATTGTCCTCTGTGTAACTGGCTACAGAGAAGACATCCATAATACTTGATGGAAAATGAAATTATCCTTCAGTTTTCTTCCCTTTAAACACAGTTAAATTAATCCTGTAAGGTCACTGAAGTTGACTTAAGAACTAAAGCACTGATTAGTATCAAGGCTTTTGAGTTACTTTTGTCCTCAGCCCTGGTTCTGGTGGTGTGGGACACAAACACTCCTTTCCCCAGGGAATCTGTCAGCTACTGCTCCCCCAGGGGCAACCCAAAGGCTCTGTACATTCAACACACAAACTCCTGTTCACTTACACATGCCCAACAAAAGTAACAGCAAGAATTCCCTTTCTGGCAGGCTGGAAAGCTTGTCACATTCCAGATTGCTTTAAGTCACCAGTTTAATAGTGCAAGAGTGATGGTGTTGGTCTGCTGCACAGGACCTCTGCCTGCATGCCTGCCAGCTTAATTATTGGGCTGAATGGGAAGGATAAAAACCATCAGGCATCTTTATCCAAAATCCACACAACCAAGTCTCCAGCTTTCAAGCTTAAAAAGAAACAGACACTAAGGTTTAATGGATTCTACTGGCCAAAATAAATATGCTGCATTAATTCCTCAGCAGTGGGATGAATGAGAGGTGGAAGTGGGATATTACATTGCAATCTATTTAACTGGGACAGAGCCAAGCAAATCGTGTGACTGGAATGAATGTTCCAGCCAAGGTATCAAAATAAGTCAATGTAAATCCTACCCTTCAGACACACATCAGGGCTCATACCCCTCTTGGGAAGTCACTTCAGTTGCACAGAGGCAATAAAATACCTAGAGGAAATCTTATCAAGATTCTCTTGCCAAGCAGCAGATGACTACAGCTCTGATGTTCTTGATTCCCTCATATTTTAATAAAGTATCCAATGATCAGCAATTCCTTCAGTTTCCCCTTCATTAATGCTATGTCAGCAATCCCACTCTTTGACCTATCCAGCACAAAAAAGGGACTATTGCTTTTATTCTGTTCCTTCAGCCTAGGCTGATTTTTTTTCTTTGCAACTTCAGCCCAAAGGTGCAGATCAGCTCCTCCTCCTGCTCCTCAACATCTCCCTACTTTCACAGGAAATCTGTTGATGGGCTGAGGCAGATGCTCTAGCTGTTGAGTTCTTGTTGCATGTTGGGGGAGAACCACTGGGTTATAAGCATGGCTCAACAACCAAGGGGGATAGACAAATCAAGATTTCAGTGCTGATACCAGCTCCTTGCTCAAGATAACACACAACAGGTTTTTACAGCTAGATCTGATTCTGCAGAGCAGACAATACCAGGTAAAATAATCCCATCCTCAAAAGACACAGGAGAGCAAACAGCCCATGCAGAAAGGTGCCATCAGCAATCACATCAGCAGTAGTAGCAATTACCACCAACTCCTCTCAGGTTATTGCCACTCTCCTGCTGAGCAATGTTACACAGCAGCACCAGTGTATCTACAGCTGCCTCCTGGGAACTGCCCACTGGGCAGCAGCTACATTTTTGGTATTGAATCAGTGCCCTGAGGCAGTAGCTGCAGTGAAGATCAAATTCATTCCTTTCCTGATAGGACAGGAGACATCCCACCACCATCCACCCACTGCAGGGACAAATATCTTCCTTGGCTTTGCACCTCTGGTTCTCTCCTAAATTCCCCATTTACCTCTTACTTTCCACTGCCTGTGGCCCTGTGGGCTCAGCAGAGCTCAAGAGCTGAACCTGTGCGCAGCTTTGTTATTCCTGGTAGGTTAAAGGTGTGTTGGAATGTCATCCTTTGTGGGAAGACAGAATAATAGGGATGTGCCTCTCCTGTGCAACACAAACACCATTCCTTCCTGTACTCCTTCCAACCTTAGAACTCCATCTTGGATCAAATCTCCAAAAACCCAAGCAAACAAGCAGAGCTTCATCACCAAAGGGCCTGTCACACCCATGTCACACAGGTTTGATGACAAGAATGAAGTCTCAGTCCACACATTTCTTGTGGTGAACACCATGGACATGAAAGGCAAGGCAGTCACCTACTACAAACATTGAGACCTCTCCAACTGCCAACAGAGCCAGAACAGGCTTAGATGCAATAAACTGACTTTGTGCAGCCAAGACAAGTACAACACACATTCGTTTAATTATGCCTGAAGCCATTCATTTAACTAAGAGAAGCTGCTGTTGGATAAAACCAATCCCACTTTACCCTAGAGAGATTAGGCAATGCCAAACTCTCCATCAAGGGTCTCAGTTAACACATCTGATATCAAGACTGGTAACACTAATATTACCTTGGCATTACTTTAAGGCCTGGCTTGGAACAAGATCTCTGGACCTCTAAAGTTAAGGGAAAAAAAACCTGCCTCCAGTTAGAGAGAAAAGCTTCTGTCTGTGGGTTACACACACTCAGCAGTTACTAGCTGGGTCATAAAGTCAGCTGCAGTAGGAGCTGGGCAGTATCTGAACTGCTTTCAGCAAATATCACATTTCTGAGTACCAGCCAGCTAGAACCCATCCAGTGGCTTCATTAGCAGGATGTCTTAATTAAAACCTGCTGTTCTACATACTTTGGACTCAAGAACACCAAGGATTGTTACAGTGGGTCTAGCAAAGCAGCCTGACTTGGACTTACTGCAAGACCAGGAGACAAAAGGAGACTTCTTACCTCTGTGTGGAATTTGTTGTCACACAAATACAACGACGTATTGATTGGTTTGAAAGGTTCAAAGTCAATGTTGACTTTCTTCTCTTTTCCTTCTTCTGTCACAATTGTTCCACAGTAAACAACCAGACCATTTGGAGGTACTAGAAAAGGACACAAAGCATTTTTAGATCATGATGAAATATTGAAAACTGTACTCATCAGAAACTAACTTCTAGGCCTTGAGACTTAAGGAAGGTTTGAAACTGAAGTTCCCAAGCTTTTTACTCTCCATTTCCCCCACCTCATTCCCTCTCAGACTTCTGCTATGGAAAACAAACTAAATTAGTGCATCTCTTCTGAACAGCTTGGAGCAGGAAGCTAAAGGTAACACTGATGGAAAGACCTGCAGAAAGGCTGCAAGAACAAGTACCTGTCTCTTAAACCCATGAGTTTGCAAGCTCCCGGAATCCAGAGAAATGCTGAAGTCTCCAAAAAGCTTTCCTAGTCCTTATACAGCATTTTATAGACCCATCATCTCCATGAAGGCCCCTTGCCAGTGTAAAGAGAGTAGGGAAGAACTATTTTCCAGTACTCATTTTAGATGGCCTGGGTCTATTTCTTCCCAAAACTATGGTAGCTGCCCAAGGAATACCTAAGTCTGCCTGATGGAAAACTGCTTGTTTAATGAAAATTAACTACTGTGCAAGAGCTCTTGAGGCTGTTTAGAAGGCCAACGTTGCTCCTAAGGCCAAGTTTAGAAGAGTCAGCACTGCTAAGGACACAATCAGAAGCTTGTTCATTAAAGACAAGGACTATCTCACTATTCTAGCCCCAAGGTCCACCCCTGACATAGTCATCCATGGGCAACATACCTGGAACATCAGTGCAAAACAGCAGCACAAGCCAACAAATTTGATTAACAGAAAACTGCACAGTGCAGAAACTTAAGGCTGCTTCTGAGTAAGGGAAGTTTGCCAGCATCCATACAAGCTAGAAGTTACCTTTGTTATAGAGTTTCAGTCTTTGCTGTACAGATGTGATGGCTCCCAGGACTGAAAGGCGGTTCACTCGAGACTTGATGTTGGAGGCGGTGCCGAACTCATCCGCTAACATTTTTGCCACTCGTGAAATCTGGTCTTTGGGGGGAATGATCAAGGATATCATGCTGGTACCATTGCTGAGAAAGGAAAAAAAAAGGGGTTGTGAGTAGCCACTAGCCAAAGCAAGAAGTGTATTCATACCATGTCCCATGCATGCAGCTGTCTCTGCCCACCCCTGCCCTGCTCCACGGATGCTTCACATCACTGTTGTCCCTGCAATTCCTCTTCAGCTGGGAAATAATGGGGAAAAAAGGAAACAAAACCAGCTCTTCAGAGGATTGCACTCCATAACTAAGTATTCAGGTTAGCTACTACCAAGTAAGCCTTCCAAAAGCTGCTAATTTAACCTGGGATACTGCTCTGGAAAAGAAGAACATGGACAGGCTGGGGGTTGCAAGCTAAAGGCATGTAAGCAGTCCCCAGCTTTAAAACAATGCAGCCACATACTTCATGGACATTTTTAAGCCCATTCCATTTGTTCTCAGACAGCTGGAGCACAAGCCAGGCCAAGTGCTGTTTTAACACATTGTCTTCCTCAGACTTAGAGAGAAAACTCATCTGGAGGATTCTTCGGAGCAGATAGTCTGTTCTCCTTTCCCACCAGTTCTGGCAGCTGCTTTAAATAAAGTGTACATGACTGAGCTCAGAAGTGCCAACCCCAGGCATGGAATCAGGAGATAAGAGCCCACAAATCACTGAGTTAAGTTAAATTTAAAAAAAAGAAAAAAAAAGGTTTGATATTAATTTTTCCTCCAGCTTTGGGGTGAATCCTGCAGAGGTCTTAATCCCCAAAGCATGGCTTCATGGCTCAAATCCATCTAAAGCCAAAACAAAAACCAGAGGATCCCTTCCAGCAGGTACCTCCCATTTGCCACTGAAGAATCCCAGATGTCTAAAGTGCTGCTTCTGCCTTGTCTCAAATTCAACCCAGATCTCATACTTCACATTACAATAATGGCATAAAAATCAAGTAACTCACCAGGTCCTCCAGCCCTCTCAAGGGCAAACCAGCTAAGCCCTGTGAAAAATCCTCTACTCAGGATTCTGAGTCAGAGCACCAACCAAGTGCTTTTCAGCCATTAAAAAAAAAGGGGGTTGCTTTTTTACATTTCTTACAGTAAGACAAGACTAATGTGGCACCTGCCTGCTGCTTTTTCAGCTTGTCATGCACTAGTGTCCTGCTTGAAGTGTTCGGGCTACAGGGACAGCAGGGAAGTGCTTTAAAAAGCATCACTTCATTAGCCTCTTTACAGGAGTTGTACAGGCCCCATCCAAAGATCTTCCATTCAGGCCAAGTTGAAACGAATGCTGGTAGGTCAAAGAAGTCCCTGACCTTAAAGACAAGTAATTGGATTTAATATCCAAGATCCCCATACACTGATCAAGAAAGTAGCAAAGAGACACTTCCACACAGTATTCCCAGAAGGAGCTTTGAGCCATGCTGACAGCTATCAGACTTCCAGGTCACACCAGCCAAGAATACTCCATGTACCACTCAATTAAAGCAGTTCCCTACCCCAGCGAATGGCACAAGCCTGAGGGGACATAAAATGCCCTGTCATTCCCAGCAGGCTCCTTTGAGTGCGAGGCTGATCCGAATGAAAGCAGCTCTTCCCGACTTTTCAGATCCTGGCACTTGAGGGAAGTTCACACAGCTCGTGTCTTCCTCTGAAAGAAGAGATTCTCAGCCTTCCCAGAGGTGAGAAAGCTCTGCACATCACACCTAAACTGCTGCACGAATTAGGGACACCTCGATGGGCCAGGAGGGACCGTTCTGTCCCTCAGGCACTCCACTGATCTCCTGCTAGGACATGCCATGTGGAGACATGAAGCTCCTGGAGAGAGTCCAGAAGAGGACACGAAGACGATCAGAGGCTGGAGCAGCTCTGCTCTGGAGCCAGGCTGGGAGAGTTGGTTCAGTCTGGAGAAGAGAAGGCTCCAGGGAGACCTTAGAGCATCTTCCAATGCCTGAAAGGGCTCCAGGAAAGCTGGGGAGGGACCTGGGACAAAGGTAGGAAGTGATGGGACAAGGGGCAATGGTTTTAAGTTGGAAGAGGGAAGATGTAGGTTAGACATTAGGAGGAAATCTTTCAGTGTGAGGGTGGTGAGAGCCTGGCCCAGGTTGTCTAGAGAAGCTGTGGCTGCCCCATCACTGGCAGTGTTGAAGGGCAGGTTGGATGGGGCTTGGAGCAGCCTGGGCTGGTGGGAGGTGTCCCTGCCCATGCAGGGGGGCTGAATCTAGATGATCTTTGAGGTCCCTTCCAACCCAAACCAGTCTGGGATTCTGACTTTTCCTCTGCTGAGGTGAGAGGGGAACAAGCAGGCAGTGAGCTAAGGGAGGAGGGGGGAATAGCGAGGAGGAAGAGCAAGTGTGCCCTGCCCAATTCTTCAGGAAAAAAGCACTTGTAAAGGTAACTTTAGTTTTTAATGCAAACGCCCTCTCAAACCCCAGCCCTTGGCCTCGTGTTACGTTCCACTGCCCCAGAAACACCAACCAGATGGCCATGGGATCAGCACAGCCACTGGCCAGGGTCCAGCTCCACGTACTGGGACTGTACCAGACCCACACCTCGAAGGGGCCACCCCAACTGCTGATTATTTATATTACACACAGCTTCTTATCTAGAACAGTCACATGTGCCAATCAAATCACTGTTCTTAGCAGCACCCTGCCCAAGGGAATACTGTGGACTTCACAAGGCCTCCTGATTTATTACTGCAAGCAAGTAAATTCAAAGGATATCCTAGATGATGCATTTTCCCTAATTTAAGCCTCAAACTAGTTTAACTCAGCACAGTATTGTGCTTGGTTCAACTCTTCAGCAAATTCCAGCCTGGATTTATATCCAAAAGCACCTTCCATGACCAACATTAAGTGCATTTCTCAGGTTTGATGTGCTTTCACCACTATTTACTCAGCCAAAGCTATTTCAGGCACTAACCAATTCCTACAGAACCCAGCAAAACAGCAGGCGTGAAGTTTGCCATGGGAGCACCTCCCAGCATCCCAGGCTGCTGGAGCCTGGAGCACAAGGAGCCAGCCAGCTTGTCACCCCATGTCCCCAGGCACACAGCACCCCAAGGGGAGCAGACCCTGCTGCTGCCACCACCTGCTGGGCACAGTTAATCCACCCAGTCAAGCAGTTCATTAGGCACCTGCTAATTGAAGGTAGCAGTCAGCACTCTCTGCTCCCTGCTCATCTCCCTTAAATGAGCACACAGTCAGGATCACTAAATTAGATCATGTCCCAGAGAGGTTGAGACCAGCATGACACCAACTGAAGCAGATCTGCACACAAGCGACCAGGAACTCCCTCACACACCACCAGGACCTTGTTCTCCTACTGCAGAAGAGCAGCTTTTCTCCTCAAAGCAAGTTTGTACCCTACTGCAGGACAAAGTCCCTGCCCATGGCAGAGGGGTTGGAAGTAGATCATCTTAAAGGTCCCTGCCAACTCAAACCATTCTGTGATTCTATGAAAATGAAGCAAAGAGTTACTAAGAAAACTGCAGCTCAAAAACACTTAGGGAAAACACTGGTTGCCCTGCAAAGCAATACCACATCCAGGCTTCCTACCCATCTCTGCAGCCACTGCACCTGAACCAGGGCAACAAGAATTCCTGCAAAATCCCAAGCCTCCTCCTCCTCCACTGCCAGAGGAGCTGTGTGCTGGGTTCTAGAGTACTTTGGTAATCACCGATGGCACGTTATGCTAATTACAACTTCCTGAAAGGGGCCTTTCCAAACAGCAGACCTCTAAAACCAACAGGCTCTGCTGTGCCTGGGACACTGCCTGCCTGGAAGGCTGTTGCCAACCACGAAAATACCCCAGTGAGCACAACAGCCAGACAGAACTTGTTACAGTGAACAATTAAGTAACCAATCTAGATTAAGGGCAGTGCTTGCACTGGCAGCTCGAGATCGACTGTGCAACGAGCTGGTTCTTCCCTGTATCATCTCCAGCCCCAGGAAGGCTGGACCAGGACACCCCAGATGATGTTCTGCTCAGCAGGACCCCTATTTCTAACTGAAGCAAGATGTTCTCCTCTCTGGTTTTAGTGCATTCAAGAGATCAGCTAGACCAGCAGGAGCTAATGCTTTCCTGAACTGAGCCAGAAGTTTTAAGCAGCCAGAGAAAGCTGCTGTCCCTACCCTGGGCTGAGGAGCACCTGTACAGCAGTCAAACAGCTGCCACTGTAACCAGGGACGTATATCATGACCAGAAATGCTCCAAGAGTTTTGCTTGGTGAGAAACCAGCATCCTACACCTCAGCACAACCCTCATCACTGCTCCAGAGACTGGAGAAAACAATTAAAAGCATGAAGTCCACACACTACAGAGAAAGGGAGCAATTAAGTGCCAGCTTCTGGAAAGGTAGAAGCCCTTTGCTGTCTGGGTACTATGGTTACTGCTCACACTGTGCAGCCCAGTCAGTAATTGGCAATTAACTCAGATTTAGCATGGCCCAAAAGGTACCAGCACTGGGTGTCTCTAGAATAAAAGATGATGATCAGAGCTCCAACTTTGCTCCTCAGCCACAGGTGGGCTCCAAGCTTGCTCCTACAACCTGCCAGAGAGCTGTTTGGGGGAGGAGGGAAAGGGAAAACAAGTACATTTTGCTCTCTCAAGACAGCAAGTTCTTTGAAAAAGTGAGGTTTGTGGACAGGACAGCCTGTTCTGTTATCAAAATGTTGATGTTACCACAGGTTGAATTTCAGATAACTGTACCACCAACCAGCCTTACCAGCCAGACACCTCTAAGAGGAAATGTTAGCAAGTTGTCACAGAAAGCAGCAGTGTGTTCAGTGCCCAACCATTGCTAACACAGCCCAGAAAAGCTGAGAAGTCTTGCCACTATTCCTGCAAACAGGAATAGTGTCCCCTCCCTGGAAATGTTGAAGGGCAGGTTGGATGGGGCTTGGAGCAACCTGGTCTGCTGGAAGGTGTCCCTGCCCATGCAGGGGGTTGGAACATGATGATCTTTGAGGTGCCTTCCAACCCAAACCATTCTATGAAGCAGGTACTATGGTATCCAAGGAGCTCATTTTCCTGCAAAATCTTCCTGCTCT